GTCTTTTTTTAAGTCTTTTTGTTGGTAGCTACTATCAAAAGTGATTAAACTTTTTCTATTATAAACAGATCGGTAAATAGTCTATTTGCTGAGTTGGAATTCTGAGTATAATATTTTCTACACATCCTTTCTCTGCTTATATTCTTCCCTGTATCTCAAATGTCTTCCATTTCCATCCTCTGTGGCTAAATCTGCTTTACATGTTTTTCAAGGCTCATCTCTTTCCTGATTAGCTTTAAAAATGTTACACCAATTTTTCATACAGTATTGTTGCAGCCATCTATGTAAATGTATGACCTGAGTTAGACATTCATACCAAAGATACCTGTCTTTAATGTGAGAATATGAAATAGCTACATTCTAGGGTTTCCCTCTCCTGGAGAATGTACCCTTGAACTATCTGCGGCCAGTTCTTATTAGTAACTCTGATGCGAGAAACTAGCATTAATAGATTTCTGCAAGGATATGTATTAGTATTATTAATTCTTTTAGAATAGTGGTTCTGAAATTTCTTTGAAACAGTAACCCCTAAGAAAATTTGCTGCAAATTGTGGATTCTTGCCTAAAAAATAACATGCTTACATACGCCTAAATTTAGGTTCAGGGCCCTCCTGGTCCTTTTGTAGTTCAGATATTCTAGTTAAGGACTCTTGCTCTAAAGTACAGGTAAATTCTTAGATTAAGCCTGACAGTTATTAAGAGGGCTGTATACTCAGACTGTATTGTTTTACTTCTCCTGATTAAGTTACCTTTATTGAATTGTGTGTTATTGTTATGCTTCACCCAGTGTTGAGGAATATTTTGAGAAACAGCCCTGAAATTCTCTTCCACTTTTACTGTAGAAATATTGGAGACTTTGTCCCTGTTTCAGTGTTTTTCAAAACAGATAATTACGGTCCATTAGTGGAACATGAAATCAGTTTGGTGGTTTCAGCCACCAAATATTTCTTGTATTGTTTTGTATTGTTTACTTTGTTCTTTGCTTATGTTATATTTAAATACTAATAAAATTTTATTTTAATGTTATCTTTTCTTTATAATAACTGTGTTATTCATGAAACTTAGTTTTTTATATAATATGTGTATACTAGATTGCCTTACAATCTAAATATTTCTTAAGGAACTGGATTTTGTGGTCTAAAAGTTTAAAAACTACTGTACTCCATCATATTTTCTCTTCAGGTGGTCTCAAAGCAGAAAAATTTTTTCCATTTGCTTTCATCCATAAAGTGCAAATAATAGTAGTTGCTACCTCATAGGGTTATTATGAGAAGTAAATACAGATGGTCCCCCACTTAGTTATGATTTGTCTTGATGATTTTTTGACTTTATGATAGTGAAAAAGCAATGTGCAATGAATAGAACCTAAATACTTTGAATTTTGATCTTTGATCTTTTCCTGAGCTAGTGATATGTGGCAAGATACTCTCATGCCAAGCAGCAGCAGAGAGATCATTTTGCCCACCTGTAGGCTAACGTAGGTGTTCTGAGCACATGTAAGGTAGGGAAGGCTAAGCTGTGATACATTGTTTTCTACATTAGGTGTCCTAAATACATTTTGACTTCCTGGTAGCAATATTTTCAAGTTATGATGGGTTTATCGGGACATAACCCTATTCTTAGTCAAGGAGCACCTGTATATATATATATATATATATGGTGCTTAGAACAGTCCTTTCCTATCACATAATAGGTGCTTAATAAATACTGGCTATTACTATTATTAGGAACCGCAGTTTCAGAGATAATGCTTTGTTTTTGTCTTATGCACATTAAAGGTTTTTGTTAATAATAATGTCCTTTATTTTTGCTGTTAAATAAGTTCAGAGATAAATTTGTGACAGAAGATTGCTAACTAATCTTTTGTCTATCTTCCCTTGGCTCTGATTTTGTCAATTTAAAAATTTTTTCTCTATCTCTTCTGTAAGCAGTCCTCATACCCTTTCTGGAACATCAGAATCATCAAAATATGGCATTTCAATTTAATTATATTATTAGAGATGTGTGTGTGTGTATATATATATATATATATATATGCGCCAGGAGGAAAGGTAGAGGCTCTTGTGAACATTCACTGCCTGTTTTATCCTGTAGATTAATAAAACTGTAGATATCACTGTGATTAGTTTGTCTCTTTCAGTTTTTTACTACTGTGTATGATTAAGTCCAGTAGAGGAAAGAGAATCTTGATAGCTGTACAGTATTAGCTGTCTGCCTTAGTGAACAAATTGGTAAGCCCAGTTAAACTTGTGCTATGTGGCAATCCAAGTCATAGAAGATTGTTATAGTGAAGCTCTACTAAGTCTTTCATTTATTGAAGTACAAAGTCTTACATGAAAAACTTGTAGAATAAATATGGTTCAATATTTTTTCATAATGTTATCAGAATAACATTGAATTGTTTAAGTACTCATCTGTGTTAAATATGTGCTTTTGTGTTACTTTGTGTATACTTATATTTCTGTCATAAAATATTTCTAAACAAAATGGTAACCTTCACCTTTATTATTAAGGTAAATTAATTTGTATTATTAAAATGCCTGGGCAAGAAAGTGTTATTTTTATGGACATATAAGGAATTAAATATTTATGGACTTCCTCTAGAAAACAGGTGGCAAACACAAAGCCCACAGGCTGAATGCAGCCCTCCACCTTGTTTTATCCGTCCTGGCATCTTTTTTCTACCTGGCAGCAGTGCTGAGCTCTCACTTAACTGTTAAGGAGTAGTTACATTTGTACAGTCCTAAAATTATGTTCGGCCCTTTGAAGGCAACTGCAAGACTGACATGCCCCCCAGTGAAAGTGAGTTTGACACCCCTGGTCTACAGATACACATTTCTTAAGATTCATTTCTCATTTATATGTTTTTAAAATGTAGTATATACCATTTTGAATCTTTAGTAATTAAACAATCCATTTAAAGCTGAAAAAAGTAATGAGATTTCTCTGATCTTTTTAAAGATAAGCTTTAAGATATAAATAGTCCTATATGCTGCAGTTTTTCAAATCCATGGTGAAAGGTTATAGAAATATTTCTCCAGCACAAAAATTAGACTATTATATCTAGATTTAATTTCTGCTACTTTTAACAATTTGGAGAATTTGTGGTCCAAATTGCAATTCCAAACAAATTTCTGAGAATTATTCTTCATGGTTTAATTTAAAAAGATGAAGAGGGGAGGAATCTAGCAATTGAGAACAGAAAAGAATGGAAAAGGAAATCATAGAAATGAAGACTTTTACAGTGAATGAAGTTTATGTAGTAATAAATGGTAAGGAGAATCCTGGCCTCAGAATATACACCTTTATCTGTTAGGATATTAGAATCTGAGATTTGTATATATATCAGAACTCTTATAAAGTTTTTAAAGGGCTAATGGCATACACTTTGATAGGAAGTTTATTGTGGGCATAGCTTTATAATTTTTTTTAAGTTTTGGGGAAGAAATTGGAGCAATATTTATGTTAAAGGTATTTGGATTTGTCTAATATGTTAATATTAGGATGGTTTCCTAGGCATATTGAAGGGTATAATTTAAATAAGGTCACTCTTGATCATGAAGGAAGCCTTGGAAGTCAATGACCCAGGCATAAAATTGAAAAGGCTTGAACTTTTTGAAAAATTGTATTAAAATTATAGAGAACAGAGTCTTAAAGTGGGCAAGACGGTAAGTTGGAATTGACTGTGTAGTTGAAGCCATTTCAAGTGCTATTATATACTCAACAGGGCTGTCTGTTTTGTTTTTGTGTGTATACAATTATGGGGCTTTTCAAGCTTCACTTGAGACAAGCTTATACCAATTCTTGATTTTTATAGAAGCCCTATATTTCTCAAGGCCAGTTATCTTGCTGGAAGTCAGCCTGGTCAAGGGAAGGGGTCTATAAGCTTTGGAATCAGACTCAGATTTGAAAGTTAGTTTGTCCTTTTAATTGTTACTGAAGTCAGTGACATCACTCTGGTCCCTAGCTTTATAATTCTTAACAAATATACATAATTTTTTTAAATTAAGGATTATTGTGAGGTTTAGGTAAAATATATAGGCATTCAACAAATTGTACCTGCTGTTTTTAGTCATTTTAGGAATGTAATCTGGGGACTGGACAGATACATAGTGTTTTGATTGTTTTACTTTTTATAAAGTTTTAAAGGCAGGATTGTTCATAACTGAATATAGATGAAGAGAAATTCATATAATTTGCATCCATTTTTCATCACCTATTCCTACAAGTCATTTCTGTCTTACTAAGCATATATACTTTTTATCAAGTCCTTAACCACACTAAATGGCTTTCAACATTTAAAAAAAATTTAACTTACCAAATTTTCCTTCTACACTTATAGTACTTTGCAGTAGAGTGTTTTCCATCTACTTATACTTTAATGAATTGTAAATAAAATTGAAGGTGTGGCAGGCATTTAAAAATTAGAACTTTTCTATCTAAAGGAAAGTTATCAGAAATGTAAAACTGGTTCCTTTTTTATGTTTTCTAATGCTCTGAATAAGTCCTAAGGAACATATCCTCTGTGTGTCAAAATGATGATTATTTCTTTTCAGGCCTTTTTAGAGGTATTTCTAAAGTTTCTGTAATAGAACTGTTTTATTTTATTATAATTATCATGACCAAAACTTATTTCCATTTGTTTAGCATTTGCTACCTGATTCAATTCTGCAAGGATAAATTCAGTTGGAGAGTATTAAAAAATAGTAAATTTAAAAGAAAATTTATAAAAATACGTAAATCTAACCTTACCATCATCATTGGATATGTTGATCCAGGCTTATTAATTTCAAAATGTAGTTTTTATGACCATGCAAAGTGGAGAATTTTAATTAATTTAGTCAAGCTTTTTCGATATTTTTTTAAAAATCAGGTATTTATAACCTGATTTTTATTTTAAAGTACACTTCATAGGGTTTCAGATTTCTCTTCTGATATTTGTATTCTCTTTTAAATATCTATTTAGGTGAAAGTGAGTTGATTTAATTTTTATATTACAGGAGACTCCCTGGGGCAATCGATGTTATTGGTCAGACTATAACTATCAGCCGAGTTGAAGGCAGGCGACGGGCAAATGAAAATAGCAACATACAGGTTTAGTATTTTTTAAATTACTATTTTATAAACATAATGTATGGCTTCATTGGACAAAAAGGAAAATATGGGGGAAGTCTAAAGAACAAAATAAAACCACTGAGAATTCTGCTATCTAAAGATAACCTCTAAGCATTTTAATACATCTCTTTCCTTGTCACAAAGCAAGATTGGGATACTGTTATATTTTTGTGTATCCTTTTTTAAAAAAATTGAAATGATCATTTCTATTTTCTCATATTAAAACTATAAAAAATCTTTATGATAGCTTTATTGTATAATATTGATAATATCATAATTTATTTAATGTGGCTTTTCTTGGGGAAAACAAATTTGTAAGCCCTGTGTTTTCCGGTGTAAGGATGAAAGGGGATGAGTTGTTAGTAACTGAAGTAATTTCAAGTTATTACTTTAGCAACTGAAACTTTCAGCTGTTAACTTGACCACACTTCCTTTTATTACCTATTTCCTTCTACTTAATGTATTGGTGTGATATCAATTATAAACTTATATAGGTTTCAGATGTACAATTCTGTGCTTTGTCATTTGTGTATCGTATTTTGTATTCATCACTTCAAGTCAAGTCTCCTTCCATCAATATTCTACCTTATGCCCTTTTCTTCCCCCCTCCATCCCCTCTCCCTCCGCCCCCTTTCCTTCTGGTAATCTCCATACTATTGTCTGTCTATGAGGGTTGTTTTTTTTTTCCTTAATCCCTTTCACCTTTTTGATCCAACCCTCAATCCCCTCCCCTCTGACAGATGGCAGTCTATTCTCTGTATCTATGAGTCTGTTTCTATTTTATTAGTTATTTTCTTTTCGTGAGTACTTAAAAATGTCCATAGTGTTTTGGTTTTCATTACTTTTAATAAATAAATCATGTAAACTGTTCTTTTTAGCATCTTTGAAAGTAAATCATTTCTAAAATCAAGCTAGTTTTTTCTTTTCCCCACCATCAAAATGCTGCATATAATACTTTAAATTTAAATCTGTTTCCTTCATTAAAAAATAGCTTATCAGCATATGCCTTACAAATATTACTGTATAAAAATGTAGGAAAAGTTAATGTAGGGAAGAACAATTATATGTTAAAATGTAGGAAAAGTTAATACAGGGAAGAATGATTATATGTTTAAACACATTCCTAAAAGTGTTTACACATTAGAATCCCTCAGGAAACTTGTCAAAAATCCAAATTTCTAGGTGCCATTTCTTTGTAGATGTGGTGCCTGTCCCTTACCTGTTCACACAGGTCACTATTTTGTAAACACTTTTACTTTTCAAATATAAACCCTTGTTCTTAAAGTTTTAGGGGTGACACAGAAAAGTTATCTACGTATCTAGCTGCCTCTTGTACCGTTGATGCTCTGTGGTCTCTTACTCTGCACCCTGGTGATGACAGGCCCTGTTACAATAAATATCTGGTTCCGCTGCCATGTTAATTTCCTAATGCTAGTATCTGACACTAATGGTTACATGCTTTAATTTAAATACTTTAGCTGGGTAATGATAATACTTACAGCGTTTTATTTATAAAGTACTTAATTTTGTTTAGAATATTTTTATCACTTAATGATTTCTTATTAAGAACTCTATAATGATTCCGTCGTTTTTATAGGGTTTAAATATGTGTGAGTGTATCACATCTTTGTGTATATACATACATACACATCATGCACAGAAAATTACTCTCACCTCCTCAAAATATGTGTATTTAAATAAAACTTTTTACTTTGATTCTTAGATGAAATGAAATTAATTTACTGAGTTTAATCACAGATAACAACATTTATTCATCTTTTTAATAAACTATGCTCTAATTTTAGGTCCTTTCGGAAAGATCTGCTACTGAAGTAGACAACAATTTTAGCAAACCACCTCCGTTTTTCCCTCCAGGAGCTCCTCCCACTCACCTTCCACCTCCTCCATTTCTTCCACCTCCTCCAACAGTCAGCACTGCTCCTCCTCTGATTCCACCACCAGGTAAATAGTACATAAGACATTTGATTTTGGAAAAAATAACCCGTGAACATTTCTTTTATTTTGAATTTAACAATTAAAATATATATTTGAAAAATAACATCTTTACTGATTGCATTGCAGTTGAAGTAACAGACACGAAATTATGTTGTCTTCAGTAGATTCACACTGTAACAGATAAATGCATGTCTTGCTATTGGCAGCATAGAAAAGAGACATTATGTTAAAATAGAGAAGAATGTACGGATACTAAAATTAAGATCCAAAAATATGATATTCCCCAAACTAAAGTTGCTAACTGTATAAGTTTATATTGAATTATAAGTCATGTAAACCTGTTTTGAAAAAAACTTTTAAAGATACTTTGAGAATCAGAGTAAGTAAAAAAAGTTATACCTATGAAGAGAATTTTGAAATGAAAATCTCAGTCTGGTCATCTTCTTTCTTTGTGTACTGGTTTCCTTTTAGGAGACTACTTCTGGGTGCCAGGTACCTGGTAAATTTTCTGTCATATTTGTAGCCACTTTTGATTATATATTTATTAAAAATTATGTCAGTGGCTATAGAAAAAAATTAAAAATAATCCCCAAATTTTATACTTTCAACCTTTCATTCAGTAGCCTTTATTTCATTCCCAAAAGCTTTTAATTTCATCCCCCTTAACCAATTTTTAATGAAACTAACAAGATTGATTGAGATAATAATTACTTTTTTTCTAGGGAGGATGCCCATAGTATGTGGATAAATGATCAGTAGAGGATAAATGATCATTCCCAATCAGAATTACATGGGTAATATATGTTATGGTTGTAACATATGTCAGTTTATACTGAAGAGCCACGACCACTTAGTCCATATTTACAGGAGCACTGTCTCTTGTTTAAAATGTCAGTTATGATCAGAGTATAGAGGCAGATACAGGGTTTGGCTAGTCCTTCCCTCTGGTAATCCTTGGCCTCTAAATATCAGTTGTCTCTTGGCCTCACTGCCACAACACCTTTGATTCGCTCCCATTGTCACCTCTGCGTTCAAAGGGATTTAAAAATTATTATGAAAAATGACACTGGCAACAGAGAATCTTGTTGTCTTAAAAATAGTGGAAGAGAACGTTGGGTAGGTTAGAGGTACTTATTCCAGGCATCATTATTTCTACAGTTCAGTTAATTCTCATTCCAGCAAGAATGTTTTGTTCTGAAACACAAACCAAAAGTTGTGATTTGACCCAAGATTCCTTCGTCTTTAATGTGATGGGAATTAATAAGGAAAAGTAATGAAAATTTAGTGAGTCATAATTTATTTCTGTGTCCTCTGAAAAAGATAAAATGTAGAAATAGTTCATTTTGAACATATTTGATTTAATGAGACCAAAAGATGATCAGTGTTTGTGTTAATAGTTCTTAAGCTAGATTGCTTTGTAACCTTATTTAAACTTCACTAGGCACTAAAAGGGATTTAAGGAAATTTTCTTGTTTACTAGCTAAATAGGATATCCGCAGATGGCTAACATTTTATATAGTTCAACAGTAGCTGCCTATTAAAGTGAGAGAATGGTGATATGAAAAAATAAATACTTCCCTGGTATAACAATATTTAGTAGCTCTGGAAGAGATTGCTGATAGGAAGTGGGCTTTTTTAAATGATAAAATTGCTCCCATTTATTTTGCCATATTATCTCTGTTTCTAAGGATAACAAATCTTTTAATAATGTATACATTATCTGCAGCATTCTGTAACAGATTATTTTTTTGTTGTATAAATTATATATTTAATGTTAATTTTAAAGCACATGCTTTCCATATTTTAATTAACTATCCAAATTTCTTTTGATGCTTATTTTTGGATTGCACCTCATGCTATTCTATCAACATTTTAAGAATACAAGTTCAGATGAATTTTAATGCCGGTTTAAGCAGTTCCCTAACATTGGTGTGTCTGCTAGAGTGAGGTGGGGGAAGATACTAATTAATATTAAAAACCAAATATTTGTAAGTTGAGGCTAGCCGGAATATTCCTCATTTTTACTACATTGTGAGCTGTTGGGGAGAGTGTTTCCCCACAGTGCTAATCACAAATGTCTTGTGTATGCTTGACATACTCTAAATATGTTAACTAATTGAGTTAGAAACATATTTATATATCTGTAACATGGGGAGTTTCAGATTGACAGCTGGTACAGTCACACAAGGCACTTACCAGTCAGAATGGGCACAAGCTTCAAATAACATTATGGCTGCATAGATACATGCCAGGCGCTGCATGTAGGCCTTGATTAAAGCCACATTTTAACTTACATTTACCAAAGAACCACGTGATTATAATATGTTCTATTGAGTTTGCTGTGATTTATATCACCCGAGAGTCCTAAGCAGCTAAGGAAAGAAAGCTGGCTCAGGAGGGTTTTTTTGTAAGTATTGCCTTTATAAATAAACTCAATTTTTCTAGGAGAAACCTTAGGTTTTCTTTGTGCTTTGTTGAGAAATACTAAAAGAAAGAAAATCTTTGAGAATTTATTTAAACATTTTAGTTTTGCCTCTGTTAACATTGACTTTTAAATGCATAAATTTTTAAAACTATAGTTCTGCATATGGTGGGACAAATAAGTAATGATATGTTAAGCCCATATTTTGGGGTGCTACCAGATTTTTATAAATAAGGTGATCATATATCCAGATTTGCCTACTTTATATCTTTTGTCCCTGAATAACTATTATTCACTCAGAAATGCCCTGTTTTGGAGGATAAAACTTTTGGTCAACACTGTAGTTGCCTCGTAGTGTAAATAAGTAGTTCATTCTTAGCAACGTGAGGTGTGATAGACAGTGCTCATTCAAGAGACTTCACTGTCAAATTGTTATTAGATGAGGATAAGTATATTGCCTTCTCTCTGCCTGAAACACACATTACAAACATACATGAGACCTTAGTAACAGAGAGAATAAAGCCTTTCTGGCCATAATAGATTGGTATGAAAGTAGAGGAGGTTTTGTATTAGAGTAGAATAAACATACAAGGAACCTGTGGTCCTAAGTTAATGTTGGGACTTTTGTATTTTTTTATGGAAAAATACTTAATCTGGATTCTAGTTGCTGTACTAACCATAGCTTGAAAACAAATACTAATTATTCAAGATCTTTCCTGATTTTTAGAAAATCTATCTTCATTTTCTAGTGACCTAGATCTATTGTTAGTGTGGTTTCTTTCACTGTGTAATAACACAAATACTAGCTAATACTTATTGAATGCTTACTGTTGAAGACACTGTTCTGAGCACACTGCTTTTATTAACTTAATTTTATTCTTGACAGCATTTGAAGTAGAAGCATTAGCTAGAAAAGTATTCTAGCTAGTATTCAGAACCAGAATTCTAACCCGAGCAGTTTTACTCCAAAGCCTATTTCATTAACTATGTTGAAGTGAATCATTACCTATGTCAAGAAGGCTTTATTTATTGGATTATATGATTCATGCCAATAACATGTCTTAAAAGCTTTGTTTTTCTTTTTAAGCATTTTCTTGAAGTTGAAGTGCATGCATGTGTATATGTAGGGAAGTTATAGAGATTGTAAAGAGCAGAAATCAGATTTTTAAAAAATCCAGTTAACTGCAGTATTACTTTTGCCTGATTTGTGTTAAGAAGTCAGTGTTCACTGAAAGGACTAGTTTTGAAATTCTATTAGAATAAAAATTGTAAAATTGGAAGGATTGGTGTTACAGAGTAGTTGACTTTTTTAATTTGGTAAAATAAGTGTAGTAAAATATTTATGATTTTAACCATTTTGTAAATGTATAATTAATTCAGTGACATTAAGTACATTCACAATGTTGTATAACCATCACTAGGAGATCTGTACCTAAAACTTGTTCATCATCTATAACAAAAACTATGTACTCACTGAGCAATAACCTCTTCCTGTTTAACCCCAACCCCTGCTAAACTGGAATCTACCGTTCTTTCTGTTTATGAATTTGCCTATTCTAGGTACCTCATGTAAGTGGAATCATTCAATATTTGTTGGCATCTGGCTTATTCTAATGATTGTAGACAAACTTTTTAAAATTGTTCAACCTATGCTACATTTCATTTAGGGATTTATGTGTTAATTTATGTTAGTGTTATGTTTTATTTATATGTTTTTATAATAGAGTTTACTGACAGAAGGCATATTCAGTTTAACTCATTTCTTGTTGCATTAATCAGTAGTCAGGCTCATGTGACTGTGGTTCTGTATGTCTTGGGAATAATAAATGTAGCTCAGCAGTAAAATTCTACTACATTGAAGAAGGCTCTCTGCTTTACTGAGATGCAGCCCAACTTGTCTGGACCACAGACAAGTCATCTCAGCACTTAAAGTGGGATACAAGGTTTAGCTGTTATATCTAGACTTCAAAATGTGTAAGCTTCTGCATTTTAGAAGGAATTAGATTTCTTCCTAAAAGATGGTCAGGTATGTTGGTGTCTTACTACTCATCTACTACTACAAATTATATGAACTTGAAAACCTTATTTATTCCTTAAATACCTTGAACTGGGGTTAGCGATGATAGATGGAGCTTGGGAGAAGAAGTGCAGTATACATTTGGAGTCCTCTGCATTTCCTCCAAGGCCCACCATGTTTTTAGATCGTTTTCAGTTAGCAGTCTGGTACAAGCACAGAGACTCTCAAACATTTTGGTCACAAACTCCTTTACACTCTTAAAAATTACTCACACCCCAAAGAGCTTTTATTTATGCATATTGCATTGTTTTTTTTTGTATTAAATCTTAACTAAGAAATTAAAATATTATATTTAATATACTTATTTTCTAAAATACTGAAAATAAACCCATTACATATTAACATTAAGAAAATATTTTCTTTAAAAATAACTATTTTTCTAGAACAATGAAAAACATTTAGTGCAAAGAATGGCATTGTTCTACAGTTTTGCAATCTCTTTACGGTGTAGCTTAATGTAAAACTAGATTGACCTAATTGTTTTACATGTTATGTAGCCTCTGGGAA